GTATCCCGGCCGAGTTGGCTTCACGCGGACCGCAGATAGAATCAGTCCTCTGTTATTTGCCATTGCCACGAAAACGTGTCAGTCTCTGGGCAACGCGTTGCCTTATCTCAGCGTATTCGTTGCCGCGGAAACGTGTTTCAACTCGCCGTTGTAAGGGAAACGTAGTGTTTATTTAGTCGTTGCTTATCAATGGACGTCTAGCTCTGGCTTCACTATTCCGGCTTTCAGGCGTCACGTCACAACATTAAGTCTCCGCTACAGACACCAACCTCCAACCTGTTAATGCCGTTTAGAGGAAGAGTACGAGACAGCAGATACTTGATAAACGGGGTTACGCAACCCGTTGCTGCGTGATGCAAACACATTCCCACTGAAACGACTAGCATACTAGAATAAACGGTGTTTTCTACACGGTCCGCGCCGAACACTTATGATGAAGAGAACTGTGGCAGTCGAGTGCAGTTGACAGCTGACAGGAGTTCTGTACTGGACTTGACCACGGAAGCAGAGGAATACGTATTGTTAAGTTCCGTTACCAAGCAACGGCTAGTGAAGACTGTAACGGACTGAGAAGACTAAGCGTGTGCTAATGACTTGTAAAATGTGGAAATTAGCGACAGCGCTGTAATTGCTTGTAGCTCTGTCCGTCTGTAATGAGGAACCAGTAGCACCCGTGCCTACTGGCCAACATGTTGTGTATTCGTATCCCTGCATGGAAGCAGGTGGCTCAAACGGTAACGCTCCTGTATTGCATTCGGAAAGTTTCCGCTTCGAATCTCGGTCTGGACTATATTTGGATACAGGAGTCCTCAGGGCTTTGCCTAGCCATGCCAGAGAAGGCTGCGATAATATCTTCAAATAAGATCATGTTGCCTTACAAGCTGATGATACATTCAAACAGCGCAATTCTGTCTAGAAGAATGTTGTATCGCCCCGTCAGAACTCGAACCGTGACTGTTGACACTTTTGGCCGAAACTCTCGCGGCTCTGCAGTCTAACTGCTGTCCGTCTTCATCCGCTGGAGCCAACGTCTCGATACTTCTCATCTCTGGTATTCCGACTGGGCCAACCAAGGCCCGCTCGAACGCTGGGATCGTGGGTTCGAATCCCACTCGATGCATGCATATCTGTGTGTCGGTAGCAGCCTTGCGATGTGTTGTTCCCTCGTCCAAGGGGCCCTACCGACCGTGTGAAAAGACCAAGAAACTGAAGGAGCTGTAGAGCCACAGACAGACAGTACAGACCTTGACACATGTGAGCAGTATTTATGAACTCCACAAGTCCATAACCTGCAATGGCGTGCCCGTCGCTTGGCCTTGCGTTGATGCATTCGTAAACATTCGTCACAGGGGGTGTGCTGTGGCTCTGACTCCTGGAGTTTAGCCATCAGGGGCCGTTTTGCGAGTGGATGAGGGTAGGCTTAGAAAGATTTGCAAATATTTGCGCACAAATATAACGCTTATGGAGGGACTTGAGGAAGTGTTACGGTATTTCACAGATACTGACACGACTTTATCGGAAGGTGCACACCATCCAACACGAAGCTAGACGTCACTTCCCGTCCCCGCAATCCTATCGTTGCGATATTCGAATGAAGTCGAACAGGCGTCCATTACAGTATAGTGCAATATTCGTCTTTAGTCCACATAAAGAAAAAGTTTTTTTTCGCTGGGCTGTGAAAATGCATTTCTGCTTTATCCTGACCTTATTCAGTCTTTCAACAATGGCTCTACATCCCTTTGTTGGGCCCTGGCCTCTTCTTCAGTTTCGTAATCTTTTTCACACAATCGGTTCGACTCCTTGGACGGGGGATCAGCTCACCGCAAGGCGGTTACATACACACAGGAGAACACGAATACAGAACAAACGCACACAGACATCCATGCCTTGAGTGGGATTCGAACCCACGATCCCAGCGTTCGAGCGAGAGAAGACGGTTCATGCCTTAGACCGTGAGGTCACTGTAAGCGGCTATCTTCACGTTAACAATGCATTATTCTAGGAAAGTGTTCGGGGGAAAAATTAGTCGCGCGAAAAGGATTTAACAGTGACTAGTTCAGCTTAGCAGCAGTGAGACGTATTCGAGGAGTCCTGGCTTCAAATATCGTCAGGAGTGTTTCTACCCGCACAAAGGATTTCTTGTTTCTTTCCACAGGCTTTCGAAGAAATTGTCGTGAAATAGAAGTCGGCCGTTTCCTTCCGAATCCTTGTCAGTTCACAGTACATAACCATGCTGTCTTCTTATTCAGGTCTGCATAGCTTCACAGTTATATATATCTGGCAGGGCACGGGTACGCGGGTTGGAGCATAAAACATTCAGATGACAAAGTGAACGAAAACTTCTGCAACGGAGCAGCAATAAAAGTGAAAGAATGGCAACAGCGAAACGAAGTGTCTCTTGGCGTCCCGACGTTACAGGCCGGGGGCGAGAGGAAATACAAGCCTTCGTTAAAAGTTTTGTTTAGCCGGCGGCACTGCTGCTTGTTGCCTACCTGCATTCCAGAATTAACAACCAACATTTGTTTAATGTTTACCAAATATAATTAAACCTGTTTGTTGCTGACCGCAACATTCCCCTTGCATGAGCAGGGGCGCTCTGCAAACCGCAGTGTCTCTAGCCCGTCAGCATGCCACAGCGTGGAGACCCGCGCACGATAGGAATTCCAGAACAACAGCGGAACTGCATTGCGCAGAGTTGGGGCGGGGGGGGGAGATTCTAAAGTCACAGTTTTAACTTTTATGGAAGGGAACGCGGGATACAGGCCGGAAGGTCGCGGGTTCTATTTTTCAGTTTCCCTACTCCTTTCAGCCGCACTATGGCCCTGGGGCTGACCCAGCCTCTAACAGAATTGAGTACCAGGAAGCTTGCTAGGGGGAATAAAGGTGGGAGCTTCGACGTCTCACAGCCCTATGGGCCTCGTCCCCTCACAGGGATAGCTTTACCCTTTTTGTTGCGGAATACAAAGATATCGCCGTGTTGTGCAATCAACGCGGAATACACGCTATTACAGATGGGACCTAACTTCAAGTTTATTGAATGTTTGCAGCCATCCCTCGCCACTGACCAGCGAACAGATCGCCAATCTAACCACTGAGGGCCCAACCGTTCAGATCAGTCCACTCCATTTGACATTCGAACACGCTGTAACACTAAGGGACCGTTTCGGTCTCTGACGACCTGAACTAGGCAGACAGCAACACGACAGCCAGTTGCCCAGAGAAGGGACTAGCTGCCGTAAAGGAAGAATTTTCTCTGGTAGAAAAGTAAGTGGGTCGTGCTGCCGAGGTTTATAGACCCTTTGCTGTGGAAAGCCAGCTTCTGCCTGGCGCAGAGACAGTTTCAGCCTGTGCTGTGCTTCGCTTCTGATGCGTGTGCGTAAGTGTTCATAAGTGACCACATGTCACTGCAGTACGTGTATCTGACGAAGGGACCGTTGCCTTGATAGGTCTATATTATTTTGCGAAACAGCCTGCTTTCTTCTTTCGCGGATACTTGCTGTTTACTGGCTGGGCTGGGGTTGGAGGCTCGCTGAGGAGTCCTGGACAGTTCATTCGTGATGACTGGTATGGCTGCAGGAGCGTTGGCGGCCCAAGTCCTAGGTTTTGTTGTAGTTGGGGACGTCAGGTGAGTGTGTTACACCACATGATCAGGCGGATGCATCTCCTCATCTGAGCCTACCCTCGAAATGGTTGTCACTTCTTTCAGCTGCCATTTCGTAACAACTCTATAGCGCGGTAACTATCCACACCAACGTCAGTGGTCACCACTGAGCTTCACGGGCCCTTCATTATGTATACTCACAACTGTGTCACTGGGTTACTGGTCATTCCCGTCAAAGCAGAAGGGAGGTTCGATAGTAAGGGGGTAGTGGATTGTCACGCCATACCGCCCCCTCCCAGGAACGCAATCATCACGTGATTCCCTTGTTATGTAGGGGGAATTAGGTAAACATGTTATACATTATTTATATGATACATAGTTTTCAGTAGGTTACTTTGGAACTACCGGGTTTCAGGGCCTCGCCGTAGCGTAATTGGTTTTTTTTTATTTCTCCAATTTATTATACAATCTATCCAGCTATTTTGGATAATAAGTACTAATTATGATGAGTATAAAAGTAATTTAACATGAAGAACGTGTTCCAATGAACTCGTTCAGCGTAGTTGGTTAAGGCACTACGCTACAGGCCGCAAGGTCGCGGTTTCGATTCCAGATGAACTGTGTAAAGAGGTGACAGTAAAACTTCCGTTACTAGGGAACAGCTCTGTGGATACTTTTTCCCTCGGTAACGGGACAACACGCAATAATGGAAGAGATGTTTTCTGTGTGGTCCGTGCCGTTTCTATATAACGAGGCCAGTAGTTCAGTGTTAGTTGAGAGTTACAGTTGCGAGAAGATATTAGCTGAGACCGGGGATATTTCGAGAACCTAGAGGAAGGGGAACGTCCGCCGTTGGAAGCTGCTACCAAGCAACGGCTTGATGAACACTGAGAAGACTTTATATGTGCTGTAGTTACAGTGATCTTACTGGCAGCTCAGTGAGACTGTCGTAGTTGTTCTCGTTTCTTTTTCAAGGAGGCCTACTTTTATTTATATACATAAATAAACATTACAGTAAACCCTCTCTAATCCGGATTAATGTAGCAAAAGGTAGCACCAAAAGACAAAAATAAAAAATAACTTAGAACACAAACAAATGCTAAATTTAATGATATGAATAGTTCTAATGAAAAAAAAAACAAAAACAAAATATCACTCTAGAACCTTTATTTAAAAATAAAGAGACAACACATTCATCAACAGAAGACTCAGAAGCTGTACTTGTTTTTGAACGTGATGATGCAGGTCTGAAGAGACTGTCTGAACAGACAAGTGACTCCTCTGTCTTCCCAAATGCCGTACTCAACTGTGAACAGCATTTTTCATTTCAATCCAGATTTCGGTGCGGGTTGACTTGTACTACAGACGCCATGTAATTCTGTTCGCTTGCCTGTCTCAGGGGAACACAGAGTTGAGCTACTGTACTGACTGCGTGTGGCTGCGTGCACTTCGTCCGTTCGTCCGTCCGTCCGAGAGGCCTGAGAGCGTTTAGCCGCGCTTACAGGGCAGTGAACACGCCGCGTGGCGGGCGGGTACCCGGGCCTCAGCTTCTCAGACACGTCCCGTGCGCTGCTGGCAAGGACTGCAACTGTGTAACACGTCATGAAGGGACCAAGAGGAGTTTCAGAAAGTAGCAGATCTCAACAGTGCCATTTTCAAGCCAGGATAAACATGTTGCAATGCCCTAGCTGAGCTGGGCATCGAGGCGTCTACCAGACCTGCAGTACAGCCGTCGAGATGCACTTGGAGGGACATAACACGAATGAACATGCGTTAGAACCAATCAAAGCGGGAGCAAAATTGGGCACACTTTCTAAATACGAAGCCAACTGGGTCCAATTTGTCAGCACACTTGGCCAGACCTTCAAAACATTTGCATCTATAAACAGTTAAAGGCCCTCGAAGAGAATTTCGGGCGGATGGGTCCACATAGCTGTTCCCTAGCAACGGCTGTTACTTGGCGATGGGTCTACATGTCACAATATACACAAATGTCTGCGGTTCGTAAGGCATGCACATATCTGCAGCTGACATCGGACAATAGAACGGACCCAACCCCGGGCTTTAAGTCAGTGACTTCTAAAGTTGGAACAAAGGCGTCTTGATAATATTTTTCATTTCGTAACGGGTGTGTCTACTTCAATGTAGTTCCGCCTTCTATGCAACATTATTATCTCTGTAATGTGTCATGAGAAATTGTGTTAGTATTTACTTTTCGTCAGATAACTCTAAATTGTGTATTCTTCATTTAGAAAAACTGCAAACACGGGTCGCAGCAGCGCGGAGGGCACAGCAGTTCCCCCCGAATTGCAACGCACCTGATGATGACAGAATAGGCCGAAACATGTAGTGCAGTGACAAATTTTAAAAGGAATTTAATTTTAAATCTTGATATATTTGCATGGTGGACGGTAAACAAAACTGCAAATAAATTCGACCATTTTAATATTAATCTTCCATTGTTCAAAATTTCTCCGGTAGGGGCTGTATCCATATGCATTGTGCGCTGGAACATAGCAGACGGCATTAGGCCACAGTATGGATCTCCACACGCGTGATAACGTCGGCAGCTGTTGAGCTATCTACCAGCCCCCGATGAGAGATGATGATTGTGGAGCAGTCGGTGGAATGAGAATTGGCAGTGGAAACCGAAGTACGCGGAGAAAACCTGCTCCAGCTCCACTTTGTCCACCACAAATCCTCCAGTACTTGACCTGGAATGGAACCCGGTTCGCTGCGGTGGGAAGCCGACGACTGATCGCCTGAGTTATGGCGCGGCCTGATAACTAAGCAACTCCGCGTAGCTGAGCCCTTCTTGAGAAGCCACCAGTCCTCAGCTACGCAACGGTTTCCCAACATTTTATGGAACCAGCAGGAAAATTGCCGTGTGTAAGAGAACCCGCCGCTGGTCCCTAACCTGAGCCAGATGAAACCTCACGCCTTCGATATCCGCAGCAAAATTCTGTCTGAAACTCATGCTGCTTACAAGAGAAGCGATGTGACGACAAATCCAATAGCAAAAGTGGTTTTAAACATTCGAAACGATTGTGTCCTTCTGGCCGCGAGTTGCAAGAATGTGGGGGCCTGAGAGAAACGCCACGCATTGCGTAGCTCCAAGGGAAACCCAGCCATTGTGCTTTAGAAACCTATACAATGTTGTAGCAGCAGGGGGGCTAAGAATACAATGCTAATATTCCTATAAGTTGAAACCCTCTGTGCCACCCCCCTACAGGGCTGAAGGCTCCATGCCGCCCTGCCTGGACCTCCTAGTCAAGTTCTTTTATTTGGGGTTCCAATTGAAAGAGAGAAGTCTCTTTCCTCGATCTGTGCTTTAAATTGTAGGGCTCATTGTAACAAGCTCCGTGTTGAAAGTCCTACCCTCACCTCTGAGCCTTGTAACACTCATTCATCAAAGCTGCTCTTCAGTGAAACCTCTTTCCTCGTCTCGAAAGCGCCCTACGTCACTCTAGCCCTCCAGCAGGGCGCAGTAAACAATTATTTATGGACTTATGATCATGTGCAGAGCGTGCTCCAATGACTTTCCCTAAAGAAGATAAAGAGGGGCCCTGCTTTCCCGTGCATGTGCTACTTAGAATGGCAGTTGCTGAGAGGTACACATTACGAGAGCTCAGTCGGTATAGTGACTCGCTGACAGTGAAATCGTGGTTGGATTCTGAGAAATCTGTCTGCTACACCCAGTGACCAGACTGGTTCTTGAGCCGTCTGTCCACGGGGGTAAAGCGGACGGTGCTCGAAGCTAACCACTCACCTCCATCAGTGCCTAGGTGAGGAATGCTCTCAACTATACTTTCACTTTCCTACAAGCATTCATGGTTTCGTGCTTCATTAAACACGGGTAAAAGGTAAAGTGTGTATGAATGAGGAAACTGAACTCAAACACCCAGAAGCATCGGACCTCCCCCAAAGGATACGGAGACATTTGTCAAAGTTCTGTGGCCCGTGGGGATTCGTTGCGCTGACCACGCGACGAAAAAGTTGGCACTAAACTTCACTGACAAGCGGTGGTCGCTCGGTCGGTATAGTTCGCTTGCGGACTAATATCACGGAGTTTTTTTAAAGGTAAAGTTGCCCTCGTGCTTAACTAATTAAGCACTACGCCATGGAGGCGTATGGAGGAGTGGTTGTATAGATCCACATTTTCTTGACCTCGGCACTAGTTGGATGTGAGTGATTAGCTTCAAGCCCCACCCGGTTGATCCCCTGGGAAAGAGCCCCCAGTACCCTTTGTATGTGATACTGTGTGGGCATCACAGGCGGTCCGAATGACGTGGAGAAAAGAAAATTCTTGACCCTACCAGTACTTGAACTCTGACCCCTCGGTCGTCCAACCCACAGCGAGTCGCTATACCGACTGAGCTACCCTGGTTCTCAAGTAAACACAGGGACAACACAAATTTTCAGCTTCTCAAAAAGGAATTCTTAAACCAGGCTTTCCACAAAATGGAGATCAGACATGACCTTAATGTTCACCTTCGGCAAAGAATTGCTTACTGAATACCGCGAAGAAATGACAAACGTCACTGACGTTTCGGAGGCACTTGTCTGCAAACGTGAGAGGCAACAAAGCAATTTCCTGTAGAAATGTGGCATTTCGTCTTAATTCTGGAGAATCTGCGGAAGCCAGAGCACCCAGCGAAGGCTGTCTTTACCTCCTTTACCAATTATACCTGACTCAGGTCACAGAAGTGCCAATAGGATCCCAAGGCTGAGTCTTGGGGGTGTATCTTCTGTGCTTACTCTCGTTACGTTGAAGGCTAGAACGGCCTCATATTTAGATTCCTGCCCATTTCATTAAAATTACGGGGTGCCAGCTCACTCCGCACCCCTGATTTTAACGATAACTATGCTACAAGCCGGAAGGTCGCGGGTTCGATTCCCGATGAGATCATTGTATTCTTCCATTGACCTAACCCTTCCAGCAGCAATGTGGTCCTACGGTCAACTCAGCCTCTATTAGGAATGAGTACCAGGAAACTTCCTTGGGGGGTAAATGGCGGCCTGCGAGTGCGCAAGGCTGACAAACCCACCGCTATCTGTGAGCCGATTGTCTATAAAACGTGTCAGCCTCGACGTCTCACAAACCTATGAGCCTCCACAACCTGTTACAGGGATAGCTTTACCTTTGTACCTTTACCCCTCCTGTTGGCCTACTGGCGAGATTTTGCTGTCCCTGTTTCGGCACTAAATTTTAATTGTACCGATAGTGAAACTGGTAGGGATACGGTAGGTGTGCCTCAACTGTACTGATGGCTGCAGACGTGCGGTCTGGCCGTGAGCTATCTCCACTGTTGGGAGCCGCAACCAAGCAGCGCAGTGAAGCCCGTGACTGAGAACACTAGCCTGCGTGTGATAGCGATTTGTAAAGTGTAGTCACTTTCAGAGGGCCTAACTCATGTTTGTGCTAGCAATTGACGGGGACCAGACCGACCTATTTTAAAACGCTGTTACGTGCCGTCTTAACGTTTCATGGCCACACTCGCCCCCCCCCTCCACCACAGTCAACACTCGGCCCTCCTGTGCAAACAGCGACACACCGAACGAGGGAGAAATTCAAACAGCGAATGAAACCAAACAAACCGATGTTACATTCGGGTGGGCCTACCGCCAGGGTGACTGGTCGAGGGCCCGCCACATAACATTCAGACTAGCCGCTATTTAATTAACATATCAATAAGATATACATACTTTACTCAGTGCCAGCAACTGTAAGCCTGCAGTGAATTACAGCGTGAATAATTACACCACCCAAGTCTTGAGGAACTCGGCTGTAGCAGGAAGCTTACACACAGGAAGTCACGTTGTCAGTACTGACAGGAACACTTCATACATGTGTTCGTCTTTACACACAATATGCAACGTACTGTGGCAAGTACACCCGTTGCTAGGCAACGAAGCGAAATAAGCAAGTATACATCAGCCGTCGTTAAGTAACGGCTCCGCAAACAAGCATGTTTCCATGGCAGCAATCGCACCGCAACAGAGAAACGGTGTTTTCTACGTGGTCCGTGCCGAGATGTTATAAGCAGGGTCAGTTAGCTATTGCAGTTGGGGGTTGGGACGTACACTTGACAAAGGCCAAGCATAATCATATGAGACAGACCAACCTTCTCATCAGAGAAGGCAACGGCTTCTAACTGTGGCGATTCTCTGAACGGCGGCTCCCTTCCAGCAGAACTCTTCTGTCCATAGATTTCAATACAGAACTGACTTGATTGCCCCAGTTGTCTTCCCTATAACTCCTCGGCACGTCCCGCTTAAACAACACCGTCCATTCTCGTATCCGTTGCAGCGGGAACTTGTTTACCGAGCCGTTCCCTAACAGCGGTCTTCTATTCTTGTTTATTAAGAATGTACTGCCTAGCAACAGACGTTATTCCTTTGTCTGTTTCGTGGTCGTAGCCTAGAAACTAGTGCTGTTTCAGAGCCGTTACCTAGCAACGGCTGTTTCTCTGGCTCCACAATTCTCGCTTCCAGCCAATATGCCACAACATAAACACTGTGGTATTACAGCGTCCTAAAACTGCACTGAACCCAACAATCGGCTGCGTGAGAACACTACAAGGGCTCAATCAACTTGTAAAGTCGCGAGGCTTCGTCCGTTCTTACCAATGTCGGTACTCCTTTATATGTTTGAACCCTCCGCTGTCGCCCTATTGCGGGAACATATTCGGCGGCTAACTGTCCTACCGGATCTGTATTTATCCATTGCGTTACTTAGGCAAATCCTCTGAGAAAAATCTCCTGCTCCATTCTAACCGCCATATCTGTGAAGCAGAGGGAATGGGGAAAGTTGTCGCCGTTGCCCATAAATCAACCGGACAGGCCTATCTGCCCACTGGGCCCAGTGAACAGGCGCGGCAGATGCAGAAGCTCCGCTGCTGATTCCTGCGCCACTCCTAAACAATTACGTATTTCCTTATGCTTCGTGCATAGCGACCGGCTACTGGCCACGAGTTCGAGTCCAGGTATCGTCAAGAATTCTGTTTACTTCCTGCGGCCCACCCGGCCTTCTGTCCAGTGGTTACCGGGCATAAAGGGGCCGGAGCGTGATGCTGACCCGTTCACCTCCACCTAGTACTGATGGCAAGATTACTGGAGCTCTACTTCCACTCCCCCATACGTCTTCATGCCATGGAGATTAATTCATTAAATACGGGACAACTTTACCTTTACGTACCAATATACTCGTATATTTTCTGGATGTCTAAACCTGGTAACTGAATCGTTTTTCACTGGCTCTACAGCCCCCTTGGGCCCTGGCCTCTGGTTTTCAGTTTCATGACCATTTTTACGGACGGT